CCTCTGTGAATGAGAGGCCCGGGCCAAATGGCCCTCCTGCCCTCCCGCCCCTGTGATAGGCCCTGGAGAGAGTGCAAGCTGAGGTAGTGTCACTACTGGCAGAAAAACTGTTTTCCCCCATTATAAAAAAGCAGAATCCCCATAGTTTTTTTTTTTCTTTTTGTGTGCTATTGCATTATCAAATGGATTTTGTCTAGCACAGAAAATTTTGGTAATAGGTTAAAAATGAAACAGCATAAAGGGGGAAAGAAATAGCTCAACCGTGATCTCTTTGCTGAAATGGTAGATACCTTTATATATTGGAATTTGCAGGATATAATTATTTAATACTCTTTCTCATTTAAATATTTGCAGCCATTAATTTTTCTCTACAATTTCTTGTGTTTAGATAACCAGATCTGAAATGCTATCTGTGAAGGCAGTAAAGGCATATACAGTACTTTACCCTAGTGTCTCAAATGTGGAAAGTATCATATCATATAATACATTACCATTTTATTATATAAATAACATACATATAATATTTACATATTATATTATTATTCCTCTATCTCTTTATATTACTCTATCTCTTTAAAAAGAAAAAGGGAGACCCATAGCTCTTACAAGAAGAAAGGCTAGAGACAGGCATTTTTTATGCCTTCTTACACAGATTTACAAATGCACTGTTATTCCAGTTCTGTTCAAAGACTCCCAGCTTTGGTTAGCAGTGCCAAATTTTGTGCTTTTTTGTGATAAGGCTTAAGATGAGATCATCAAATGTACTTTTGTGTGCACGATTTAATCTGAAGTAGTTTCCTCCTTCATTTGAGTAAATCCTGCATGAAGCTAAGGCATTTGCAGTAGACACTAAAACTGTCTATTTTAAAATTGTTTAAGAGGAAGTACTATAAATGAAGCACTAGTTTCCAAAGGAGAGGACTCCTTAGAGCAATAATATTGACATTGTGCCATAGACAGCACACAGTGCATGCCTGGGAAACCTACACAGAATTCAGATTGAGGAACATGTGAATGGAGAATTTGATGCATGGAATTAATAAGAATGAGGGATTTATACTCCTGAATATGGAGGATTCAGCATCTGGCTTTAAAAAAGCACAATATCATCCTTGTTCATCTGAACAGAGTTGAGCCATTTTCTCTAACAGCTGAAGAAACAGGAGGCTAGCAAATACAGAAAATAAAATGCTCTGTATGATTGTGCCACTCTGGAGTCCTCTGCAGGCTGCAGACTGCATGCCCTCTGGCCAAGCATGTGGTTATTCCCCAAGTAGGAAGAAGGCCATCCTGGAAGAAAGCCAAGTGGGTAGGCTCTGCTGTTTGTCTCTGATGGAAGTTCTGCCTTGGAAACTATAAATGCTTTTAAACTCTTACTGGGTTATAAAGCTGTATGTCTTGCATTTGAAGCATGGCGTAGTGTCACTGAGGTGCAAGAAAATAAGATGAGATATCTTTGTTTTGTAGTGTGCTGTACTTCCCTTGATAGAAAGGCAAATATATAACACAAGCCACAGTAAAACACATTGAGTGCATGGGAGATGAATGTGAAGGGAGTCGGTTGGTAACTGGTTTCTTTCCCTTGCCTACAGGTGCATATGGACAATAAAGGCAACCTACTTGTTTTGCAATCTATAAGATTAGAAAATGCCCTTGTTCTCTCTCTGTGGCTGCCTCCATTTTCATGATATGGGCAGATTTTCTTGAGGGCACCTACCATCTTGCGTATCTGCTTCCCTGAGACCTTTCTGAGATTCATGTATACTTTCTTTCATACTTTGTTCTAAGTGAGACACACACATCAGTCAACCTAATCTCCTTACTCCATCAGACACTTGACAATGTCTTCCATGCAGATGCTGTCTTATTTGGTCATTCAATATTTATGCCCCTCAAGATATTTTGAATGTAGTTCTATCCAACATGACCTCATTACCTCTCTGAGACCTTGAGGAATAACAAATTTCATCCATTTCCTCCTTCAGAAAAAATATGGGTAGCTTCCCAAGACTTGATTCCCTTTTGCTCAAGAAAATTAAGATGGTGGTGTTCCTTCAACTAGATTCTTCCAATATTCCCTGAAAAAAGCAGGGGGATGGATGGCTTTCTCATGCTATCATCCATCTCCTCCATTTCCATATGAGGAGAAGCTAGTGGCATGGAAAGATTTTCATGTCTGGAGTACTGCCTACTCTATCTCAGTTTAGGGCTGCCTTAAATAGTGCTTAAATAGGACCTTGACTGCACTATGCTTCAGCTGTATTCTAGAGATATTCCTGGCTAGAAGATATC